CGTTGGGGGTCGACTTTGGTTCTAAATGAGGAAAATCTATGAACAAATATGGAATGATTCATGGGATAATGTTAAGAAAAAAAATACACAATGTGCAAAAGACTGCCTTTTGTGTCATAAGGAAGGGGAAATTTTTTGAAAATCCAATAATCTGCTCACTGGTGCAAAAGAAAAACCCCAGGAAGAGGGGCGCCTGGGTGGCTCAGTGGTTGAGCAACTGCCTTCGACTCAGATTGTGATCCTGGGGTCCTGGGATCAAGTCCCACATCAGGTTCACCTTTGCCTGTGTCTCTGCCTTTCTCTGTGTGTTTCTCATGGATAAATAAGTAAAATCTTAAAAAAGAAAAAAGCACAGAAAGGATAAACCAGAAACTATAAGGGGTGAATGGGAATAAGATGGGAAGGAGAGGCACGGGCACAGAGTAAGAGGAATGGGGTAGCAAGGCTTCACTGAAGAAACCATATTAAAAAAAGAATCTTTGGGAATGGAGGAAGAAACTGGAGAGTCAAATACAAACAAATGAATAGGAGTGTGAAAGAACAAATCTAAGTAACTTTTGAAAATAGTACTTTGAGGACATGCTCTGTTGGCTCAAGACAAAAGAACTGTCAACAAATCTTGAACTTTTTTGTTTTTCACAGAGTTGTAGTTAGCAATTCTGAAACTACTTTCTATATAGTTTAGGATTGAGCAAATAAATATATTATAGATAATGGAAGCAAGGTTTGCTGGAGAAGGGAGCTTAAAAATATGGAATGAGAGGATGGCTACAGTTGACACTGTAATATTGGGCTATAGTTGGAGTCTGAGTATGAACATGGGGTTTTTAACATAGATGGACAGATGGATGAATGGATGGATGGACGAATAGCCAGCCAGCCAGCCAGCCAGCCAGAGATGAGATGTGTGTTTATGTCTACATATATTTCCTGGCCCTGGCCCTGATAAAGCCTAGAAGCAATGACACCCCAGTAGCAATGTGCATACCCAGTGCCAAGGTTTGGCTTCAAATACCATTCTTCACTAAAAGGAATCTGCACTTTGGAGAAATGACTGGTTTCAAGACTAAAATTGAGGACATATAGGGTGAGACTGAAATATTTTGTAGTACTAGAAAATACAGATATACTCAAAGGATGATGGGAAGATGTCTGAAGAACAAGAAAGCAATTTGAATGACATTCCACTGGCCAAATCTGGGACAATTTGAATCAAAACAAATAACGATAGTGATGGGTATAATAACCCTCTGAATAAAATAAGCATTCATTAATATAAATAAATGTATATATTATATGTAAACATAGCATAAATTCATATTTATATAGATATTTATACATGTATCATGTTTATTTATATGCTATAAATATAAATAAATATAAGTAAAGCAATATAAAGAAATAAAACTCTTCCTTACAGGAGAATCTGAAATAATAAATATAGAAGGAATGATAGAATTAGACGTTCTTTATCATAATAATAATTAATCCAGAGGTGCCTGGGTGGCTCATTTGGTTAAGCATCAGACTCTTGAATTCAGCTCAGGTCATGATCTCAGGGTTGGACTCTGCGCTAGACCTAAGATCCTCTCTCTCCCTCTGCCCCCCGCCCCTTGCTCACACATTCTCCCTCTCTCTAAAAAAATAAATAAATAAAAAAGTAAAATAATCCAGGCAAGAATCATCAGTGGATGCTAAAACTCATGGATAAAAATTTGGTGAGTAATTATAACAACTTGGAGAAGGAAAAGATCAAGTTCAGAAATCTATGGCACAACACAAAGACTGCACCTGACTGCATCAGCTGAGTGATTGGTCAAGTCATATTGCTAAGTGTTGTATTTGCAATTGGGATGATAACGATAATTATTTATTGAGTGCCCACTGCATGTTAGGCATTATGTTGGGTGACATTTGGGAGTTTTCTGTTTGTTTGGTTTTTCCATATATTAGCTCACTTCTAACACTAGCTCAGTGAGATTTTTATTAGTATCCCCATTTTTGAGGTGAGGAAACCAAACGGTCAAGAAACACAAAATTTGTCTAATGTCAAAGAGGTAGAGCAGGATTCAATGTTCTTGTCTTCTGACTTGGAGTTCTATGGTGTTCTCAGGCAGTGGTCTCTCGGTCCCCTCAGAGCTAGCTCTGTGTTTCTGGAAGTGTACAGAATGATATGGCCAGAGAGGCTTTCTTAAACAAAAGCTTTGGAGGTTCCTTCTTTCTCTGCACCATATTTACTGAACACCTTGCCTCATTTTCCTCATCTAAAAATGGGGAAGTCAATGCTAAATTAACGTGGTCATTAGGAGAACTAAATGGGTTAATCTATGTAAAGCATTTAGGATAAAGTAAGTGTCCTCTAAGTGACAGCCACAGCCATAATAACACCAGCGGTAATGTGAATTCCCTGGTATGATGGAAAGTGTTTCTAAAGGTCACCCCTCACTTTTGGAATGAATTGATCATCAGGGGGTAGATCATAAAGAGCTTTGTGTATCATAAAAAGAAGATAACATTTTATTCTATAGGCAATAGAAAACCACTGAGGAATTTTATTACCGGGAGAGATGTGAACTGGTTGGCAATTTAGAGCAGACCAAGGACAGGAGAGTAGAACCCAGGGCAGGGAGTCCATCAGGAGACTGTTGATAGAGACTGGGTACAAGAAGATGAGGGTCTGAGCTAATAAAGCTGGCATGATGGAAAGGAGGGGACACACAATGGAAAGTCACTCTTGAGAGTGGTGCCTGGGTTTGGCAGGAGAGGAAGGGGAACAAGCTGAGGCTGAGCCTCAGGCTTCTGGCCTGTGCACTCTCTTCTCTTAGGGCATGACCCGAATGTAGAGGAGGGCATGAGGGCTTGGGAATGTGCTGATTTAGGGTGGTTTGGGACACATAAGGGAGTCACAATGGACAGGGGATATTCAGATCTGGATTGAGGAGAGAGTTCAGGGCTGGGGCAGCATGCCTGGGGTCGCTGAAGCTTGGCAGTGGACCCCTCAGGGAAGGGATACCCCTAATAGGGGTACACCTAGGTGGGATACACCTAGGTGGGACATAGGTGTGCCTCCACAATGGGAGGTAGGGTTCTTCTAGCTCGTGTGACACAAGGAGTAAAATCCGGTACTCCCCTTCTTCCCTCTGGATCGCCCAACTGTGGCCATGGCCCAGTTTTCTTTGTTGTCACTCTGTTAGTATCGCTCGTTCCTCCTGTGTCCATGGCAGGGTCACCAGCCGGTGCAGATTCGGTTGGCATCATTCTGATTCGCTGCAGGGGCTAGAATGTGTGTGGCACATGTGTGGCTGTCATTCTTTCTGCATCCCCCTGCTCCCTTTGGTTTATCTGTTGTGTCTTCTACCCTGCCTTTCTTTTCAGTTCCAACTCTGCTCTGTCCTATAGCTTTATTAAAACAGAGTGTGTGGGACTGAGGTCAGGAGTATAAGTAACCTGCCTTAGGCGCTATTCCTTATACAACAAAAATATTAAATATTTTTTTCCTCCTCAGTAAAAGGATTAAAAAAAAAAAGAGTGAGGAGAGGGCCGGGGTGGGATTTGAGAAATGCCAGTATTTAACAGTGGCAAAAGAAGTGGAAGGAGACTGAAAGGGAACACTCAGAAAAATAAGATTGCTTCCAGTGAACTATTTCCTGCCATGGCAGAGGCTGCAAAGAGAAGCAAACAAAGCAAGGAAGGCCTTAAAAATGCCTAGTGGATATGACAATTGTGTCACTGGGGACCCTGGCAAGAGCAGGTACCAAGGAACAGAATCCAGTCAGGCAGTGGATTAAGGAGAAAATTGGATGTTTCAAGGAGAGAAACTAGAACTTGGATGCTCCTGGGGATGCAGGCATCTCACTCCCTCGCCCTGTACTTCCACCTACGGGAGGAGAGCTCTGATTGGTGGAAGATCCTCCTTCCAGAGCCGGAATCTCCTTCCAGCATCTTCCCTTAGCTCCTGGCCAGCCCTCCAGGTCCACAGTGACCAAGTCCATGTGCTCCTCCAGATAGCTGCTGCACAAACCCACCTTCTCACTGGGTCCATCTCATCGAGCCCCTCCACCATCCCTTATGGGCTCCAGGCCCCCATACTGAACTTGATGTCTGGCCCTCCAACATAGATCCTGTTTTATTAAAACTGAGCTTCTTTGGTAACATCAGTGTGTGTTTATCCCCCTATTAGGTTGGTGGCTTTCCATCATTTCTAAAAACCTCAACCCAGAATACGAAATACATTTTATGTTAAACATGTATGTATAACTGAGAGGAGATACACTCTTATTTTCAATTCCATTTCATGCCTTTCCACTCTGTCCTTTTCTGTTTCGGGTTTATAAATGCTGGCGGTGGTGGACTTCGTGGCTGATGGTATGACTGCGGCACCACCGTGCTGGGAGGGACTCAAAGGAAAAGATGCTAAGCATCTGTCTGAATCTGTCTCCTTTCCCTCCCACGAGTTCTGGCGAGTTCTGGCCCTTCTTCCCTCTAATCCTTTTGTATGGTTCTGAGAGGAAAGCAAACCACTTCACTCACCAGGTGTTAGCCAGCCTTGGGGGTATTTGAATGTCCAGAGTAATGGTGGAATTTAGAAACCCGTGGAGGAGAGACTGGCTTACCTTTCAAATCAAGCAGATAAGTACTGTCCCTACTTACTCATGAGGCATCTGACAGCCTGAGGCATTTTCATGCCTTGAGGATGCCCTCAGGTGGTTTACTGTCACCTCTGCTGTGAGGCATTTAAAATTTCCTGAGTTGGGGAGTATAACTACCTATTCAGACTGGCCACCCAGCGGGAGGTGTGCTGGTCTGGTCTGCATGCCCTCTTTAGACTTCCCTGAGGAGACATCCACCCCCACTCTGGGAACCACTGCCTCCCATAGGTCTTTCCCCAGTGATCAGTTGAGTTTTTTGTCTTTGTTTTTGTTTTGTTTTGTTTTATAAGAAAGGGTGAATTATGGTATTCTTATGCTCTCATTCACAACATCTTTTCTACTTCTGCCCAGGAGGAGCAAGGATTTCCGGCTACTGTGACTACGGATAGAAGCATGCTGTTGGAGTAAGGCACAGGCCTTCTCTCATCTGCTGAGAGGTGCCCACTACCGCCATAGACGCGTGGGTCCTCAAAGTCTCCCAAAGGGCCTGTCCATCACGTACCTGCAATGAGCCAGGCCCTGGGCTGGGCCTCAGCTTCATCCTGGTGAACAAAACTCCATCTCTGGCCTCAAGCACTCACACCCAGCTTAAAGATGAGTGATGAACGGTGGGTCTCCCTTACTCCAGAAGAATTTGACCAACTCCAGAAATATTCAGAATGTGAGTAAATGGATTGACCCACCTAGGGCAGGATTTCCTCTGGGCAGGGGAGAACATTTCTGGAGAGCAGAGTGGTGTGATCGTTGCAAAGCCACAGAGAGTAAGGTTGGGCCTGACAGATTAAATTTCCTCATAAACACGGAATCGGTGTCTTTAAACATAAAAACAATTATCTTTACACTCTATAAATGATACACGCTCACCATGGAAATTTGGAATATACAGGGGAAAAAATAAAGAGTAGGTTAAAAATCACAGCCAAACTCATGAACATTTTGGAACACTCCCCTCCTGTGCATATTGCTTTGCATGGTTGAGTTCCTGAGTATACAGTAACTTTTTTTTTAGCCTGCATTTTCTACTTAACATAAAAACTACTTTCTTAAATCATGAAAATCTGTTTATAGCATAATTTTTGAAAGACCAAAGGCTGCATGATTGTAAAGTTACTCAGTCATTGGCTTTAATATACTCTTGTGTTTGGACTCAGTGCCCTTTCTTCAGTAAGATACAGAGTTTTGATGTGTGTCTGTTTCTTGACTCTGTTCTGAATAAGCCTGGCCTTTCAGCTGGGGCTCTCGGTTTCCCTTTAGTTATACCCAGGGACAATTGCAGTGCATTAAGACACATTGGTGGCAAAGCCAGTGCTCACATGTGGGCACACAGGTGTGCCCTCCACAGGCTACTCCTAATCCTGTCATGACAGGAATTTGCCGAGGCTGGAACAGCAACTGAACACTGCATTCTGCACACACCTGGTGACCATGGTGATTGTGCAGTGGTACCAGCGTTTCATAGAGTCCTTTGCTTTGCAGACCTCTCAGGTACATTATCTGCCCTGCCCCTTTGTTCTAATCACCTCTCCCTTCCTGTGAATTATACTGGCAGCTTTGTAAATCACTAGGCCAATGGCAATTTGACCTGCCCTACAAAACTTGCCCAGGTAGCCCTTGTATGCCCTTTTGGCAACCTGCCCTGCTCCCAGAGGGCAGGCAGCCCTTGTCCATAGTACTGGTCTGGGAGTCTAAAGATTGGGCTTCAGTGCCAGCTATGGCTCTTGCTCTCTGCAAATATGACAGCTCTTAACCCCCAGAGCCTGTGTCCTCTTCTGCAAAATGAGGGAGTTGGATTAGATGATCTCTTCTTGTGATTCCTCCCAGGCCTAACACTCATGACTCCATATGTTCCCCACAGTCAACAGGAGCCCCCCCACACACATACACACACCGACACACCATGGGACTTCTGGTCAGTCTCCGTCTTCGCTCCCTGGAGCCCATGGCCTCTTGTCTGATCTTGATGGGTCTAGAGAAATTCTATGATCTATTGACAAGGAGCAAGGCATCACCTTCCAGGGTAAATTGCTTTTAATTCAGCATGCTCTCTAGGGCAGCAAAGTACTAGCCCTGTCAGGGATGAAAAAGAAGCAAAAGAAAAGGCTTGCTCTTGAGGAATCAGAATCTTGTTAAGGAATCAGAAATGTGCTCATAACACAAGCAAAGAGCAGGCTTAAGGCAGCCGGCAGATACCTCTGGCAGAGCTGTCTAACTTGAGTGCGTAAGTGAGAAAGGAATTTAAAGCTAGAGGAAATTGGTATGGAGGGAGTATTTTCATTTGCTAGGCTACTGTGACAAAGTACCCACAATCCAGGTGGCTTAGAACAACAGAGAGTATCTAACAGTTCTGGAGGCTAGAAGTGCAAAATCAGGGTATCAGCAGGGTGCTTCCTCCTGAGGACTGACTATAAGGGAAGAATGTATTCTAGGCTTCTCTCTTTGGCTTGTAGGTGGCTGTCTTCTCCCTGTCTCTCCATGACATTCCCCTGTGTGTGTCTCTCCGTATCCAGACTTCTCTTTGTGTATGAACACAGTCATACTAGACTAGACCCACCCTATTCCAGTATGACTCTATTTTAACTAACTACTTCTGTAATGACACTATTTCCAAATAAGGTCATATTCTGAGACTCTGGGGGGTTAAGACTTCAAATTAGGGGGGGAGAGGATACAATTACCCCACAGCGTAGCATTTAATTGGGTGAACTCTGTGGAGGAAGAAATTTAAAATGTGAGTAGCAGATAGTCAAGGAGGGGTAGAAATAGTGGAAACAAAGGGAGAGAGGGATGCGTATGGGTAGTGAGGAGAACGTCAGGGCTCTAGGAAAACAAGGAGAGCAGGGTGGGGGAACATAGGAGGGATGAGGATAGTAGAAGGCCTTGGGTCAAAGGTGGCCAAGTATAAAGCCATGAATCTGGTGGCTATGTTTAGGGTGGCCTGAATATAGAAACTGCCAGATCAGGGTGGTAGCGCAGGGTCCATTGGATGAAATCTAGTCTGGGCTAAGTATCAGGCTGAGGATGGACTGTGGCAAAGAACAAATGCTGATCTGTGGAAAACTGGTGGAAGTATCACCAAAATTTACAGAATGAAAGGAAGCCAGCAAAGATATCCCTGAAGACTGTAAATCTATGGCAAATGCCGACATTAGTATTCAAGGCTGGTGGGGACAGCTTGGAAATGTTGATTTGGGGATAGTGATGATACATCTACTTCTGCGTTCATATGCGCCAAGTTGGAGGCAACCAGAAATGAGTGAGACACAATCCCTGCCCTCGAAGAGCTGCCAGTCTAGTAGGAAAAGATAGATAGGGCTCAAACAATGATGTTCAGTATGACAGGTGCTAAGGAGTTGGGGAAGAAACCTAGCCTAGACTGGTGGGAGGCTTCCTGGTGCAGGTGTGGTTTCCAGATGCCAGAAACACTAGTAGGAGGGAGGCAAGAGCATTACAGGCAGAAGAAGTGGCTTGGGAAAGCAGGGAGGGGAGAAAGTCATCATGGTTGCTTCGAAAAATGTCAAGGAGGTCACAGACTTGGGGCCTAGAGTGTTTGGTGGTGGTGGGCAAGAACTGGAATGATAAAAAGACCCTATCATGGAGGACATTGCTTCCCAAGTGAGGCCTGGAAGGGGGGTGGTGGGAGGAGAGTGGGAAGGAGAGCTAGGCTACAGCTCTGACATGAGAATCATTATGTGGAGGCAGCAAGGAGAGGGCAACAACAGGAATGAAAGCAGTTCAGATAGAACATGAGGAGAGAGATGAGAAGATGGAAAACAGGGCCACGGTCTGCCTACAACTAGAGGTCAGAGAAGGGAAAGAAGTCAGAAGAAGGCAGAAGAAAGATGGCCAGGCAAAAAGAGGAGTGGGTGGAGGGAGCTGAGGGACAGAGGGGTAGGCATATAGCAAAGCAGTAGGTGAGACAGGGGTTGAAAAGAAACCAGAGTATTTGGTAGGAAGGGGTTCCTTTGTGGCTTGGTTCTTTTTTTTAACCATCAGCTTTGTCCTTCTGTGACCCCTCCTCATCCTATTCATGTCCCAGGACTGGATAAGGTGCTCTGGTATTGTTGTTGTTAACAGGAGAGGGGAAAAAAAGCTACAGTTCTTGGAAAATGATTAATCCTCAGAGGAAACCCTGAAAAAGGCACGTCTACCAATTTTAGACACATGCTGGTATTCAGTCAGATTGCATTGCCATAGCAACTTCTCTTCCATAACTGCATAAACAGGAACTTTGCAGTAGTGGAATAGCCTAAGTGTATGGCCTGAGAATTGAGAACTTTCCCCGGTGGGGTTACCGGGTAGGAGAGGCCAAGAATTTCAGGAGAAGAGGCTCTTGGTGTATTTGGTGTATATAATAAAAACCCTATACCTTCTCTAGTGGCCTTCTAGTTTTCTGGGGGAAAACTGTGTTAAAACTGCCCTTGGGATCCCTGGGTGGCGCGGCGGTTTGGCGCCTGTCTTTGGCCCGGGGCGCGATCCTGGAGACCCGGGATCGAGTCCCACATCGGGCTCCTGGTGCATGGAGCCTGCTTCTCCCTCTGCCTGTGTCTTTGCCTCTCTCTCTCTGTGACTATCATGAGTAAATTAAAAAAAAAAAAAACTGCCCTTGGGGATGTATATATTTATTTTATATGTACACACGCACACAGTTGATACATATATATATGGTAAGTTTCATGTGAGTCAGTAGTTTAAAGTGCTTGCAAAAAACATGAGGTGATATTAAGAATATTTTTGTTATAAAAATAACACAAGTATAAAAATGAAAAGTGGATGAAATTTAAAGCTACCTATAATTCTGTCTTCTGGTGATAACTATGATGTGTGTGTGTGTGTGTGTGTGTGTGTGTGTGTATAAAACAGACATGCAAGGCTATTTTGTATGCTGTTCTTCACCCTAACAGTTATCTGTTCAATTTAGTTATCAACTACTGCATCAAAACAACTTCAGACTTGTGAGTTAAAACAGCTATTTTGTTTTTTCCCATGATTCTGTGGCTCTGGAATCTGGCAGGGGGCACAGCTGGGATGGCTGGTCCCTGCTCCACGGTGTTTGGCGCTTCGGGTGGGATGCCTGACATGACATAGCAGGACTTATTCACTCCCATGCTGTTACCTCAGTGTTCCTCCATGGGATTGCTTTCTCCAAGCACTTTGTCATCTCCTGGGGCCTCTCCATGTGGTCTCTCTCTCTCCGGCTGGCTGGCCTGGACTTCTTACATGCGGGCCTCAGACTCTAAGAGCATAAAAGCAGGGCTTTTTAACACCTGGACTCAGAGGTCCCTAAACAGAACTGTCTCCACATTCCACTGGTCAGAGCAGTGCCAGGCCTGACCCAGATGCAATGGGCCTGGGGAATGGACCTCACACTTCATGGGACAGTGGCTCACACAGGGAGCAGGGAGATTGTTGACAGCTATCTTTGGAGGCTAGCTAGCACACAATATATCATGAGGTGTTCCTGTGTTGTTCATTACTTTCCATAAGCCTGATTTTTAGGAGATACAGAGATTTCTTTTGATATTTTATTTAACCAAACCACTGATTTGTGGCTATGATAGATCATAGGATGTATTAATAGATTTACAGTGTCTAGTAAGGCACACTGATACCCACATTCTGACCTACCCTGATCAGACCTCTTTGAGAGCTGAATTTATTCCT